CTTGTCACAGGCCCAGTGACGCACCACACATGCCTGCACCCCTCAGCAGTGCTTGTCACAGGCCCAGTGATGCACCACACGTGCCTGCCACTTGTCTGTGTGCTGCACTCGACTGCGCCCTCCAGGGGGCAGGGACTTTGCCAGCTTTGCTCACCCCTGAAAACTTGGCACATAGAAAGGTGCAGAATACCTCTTCTTGCACAAAGGAGCACAAAGTCTGCAAACACACTTAGATGCAGGACGGCCACTTTGGAGAGTCGTGATAGGAAAAGTCAAGCGTTCCCCACGACCTCCCATCCTATTCAGGCACCCTACACTCACTGCTGGCTTGCTGCCTGCGAGCTGCTGTGCCCAATGCCACTGCCCACCTGTGCACTCGGTGCTAACCCCGAGGAGGGCCCTTTTCAGGGAACAGACAGAAAGGTCAAAACATGATTACAGCCCAAATGCTGAGTGAGGCAACAGAAGGAAAGAAAAAGTCCTGGGAGAGCTCAGCTGCGGGGCAGGCAGTGGGGACAGCAGCAGAGATTATCGTGATTCCTCACCCTGCTCCCCTGCCCATGCCTCTGTAATGCCAAATGGGTTGTGTCCACAATAAAACAAATCAATGATGCCAGAACATCTTGTACCAAAGAAGCTTCATGTTTTGGATGTGCCAACTCTCTACGTCTTAAATGTTGGAACCCAGCCCTCCTGCCATCCTCTGCTTTTACCCATCATGCCCGGCCTGCCTCCCTTTGGCCTATCGTGAACCCGAGATGATCACTCCAAATGCCCAGAACAGTGCCTCGCTCCTGGTAGACACTCAAAACTGTCTGCTGCACATATGAATGTGTTCATGTGGCCAGTCCAAAAATCTGACCCAGGATCCTGATGGCAAAGCCCACGTGGCCCCTGTGTTTTCTTGCTAACTTTCTCTGCTCTGCACCACGGGGAAGAACTGGATCCAGTAGCACGTGTAAGGCGGGTCATGTGCGTGCAGCTTGAAGGGCATGTTCATGACTGGCTTGGTCAAGCAATGGAATGTCCCATCTCAGGAAGAGCTGACGATGGTGGTGATGCCAACAACGGCCATACCGGCAAACGCAATGGGCGCCGGCTGTGCTAGCTGCCTGGATGGACACTTTATGTCCACTGTCTCCTTGACTCCTCACAGCAGTCCTCTGACATTGTGTGACTGTATCTTTACATCACCGTGAACTGAATGAGGTTCAGAGAGTTGCAGTAACTCATAGGCAGCTCCATGAGCTTTGAGAGCAGAGCCCAGGCTTTAAGCTGGGCCCAGGGCTGGCCTCTGTGCACCACACATAGTCGCTGTCCTGTCTCACAAGGGAAGGGGTGTTCTGCCATTGTGGCCCCACAGCAAAGGGTAGATGATACCAAATAGGGAGGTAAGGTAATATAGTGTCTCCCACCTTCAGGGGTATTCCGGCCCCATGCTCCCTATCCTCACTTCTCTCACAAATCACAGGTGAGTTTGACACTCCCTAGCTAGGGACAGCCCCACAGCTAGACCTGTGCGTCCTGAACTTCGAGGACCACACTTCTACCTGAACATTCTCCCAGCCACACCTCTGAGTGCCTTCCACTGACCCACCAGACTGCCCGGGCATTGTCCTCAGCCTCTCACACTGCCAGCCTCCTCTTCCTCCCGACAGCCCCGGTGGGACAGGAGCAGCATGGCGTTAGAAGGAGCTTCCAACCAGCATCATCTCATAGGAAGAATGGTGGCTTGTGGTCAGGCCGTCCCAGAACCAAATTCCACATCAATCTCCTTCTTTGTAACCTTGTGCACAGGGTCTTGGCCCCATCATTTGTACAGTAGGGACAATAGTAAGATAGAGAGTTCTAAGAAGTAAATGATATATCATCTGTCAAGCACCAGTAGTGAATAAATTGAAGCTTCCTCTTTCTACTTTTGCTTCTTTCTCAGCTACTAATCAAGCTGGAACAGCCCAATTCAACTTCTACACCCATAATGATGAAAAAAGCAATTGGCAGCTGCCTGGGACGTAACAACCACCATCCTTTGATCTGCTCTCTCTGCAGCCTCACTTCTCGGCCCCCTGGGCTGACAGGAGGACTCCTCCATCACTGAGAGATTTAAGATGTTTTCAAAGACATTTTCTGTCACTTGCCCTTTTTTCTTTTTTTTCTTTTTGCCTCTCTGATCGGCAGGGGAGTAAAGCTACTTTCCTTGGTCTTGTTTTACACGAGAGAAAAACATGGCTGAGAAGCAGGAGCAAAGTCCCCATCACACTTGGCCCTGCGGTAGTCAGGATGCCAGACCCTGCGCTCCAGCCCTGACCCCAGACTCCTTTCCCTCCTCCATCTGCTTGGTTCAGAGCCTCCTGAAGGACCAGCCTTGGGAGTAAGTGCCATGTCCAGGTATGAGACAGGTATAGAACTGGTGGGGGGGGGGGTGGCTCCATTTAGCTGGGACAGGTGAGAGGATTGTGGACATGGTGTGGCTTGGGCCAGAGGCTTAGTGACCGCACCTCAAGGACCTTGGCCAGTAGTGCCAATCTGATGCTAGCCTCTGGTCAAACAGGTGTGAATTTTACAGTACCACTGCCACCCAGACCCTAATTAAGATCTGCTTAGCATAGGGGAAAGATCAGCGTTCTGAGGCCATCATGAGTTGGTCCCAGCCTAAACTCAGCCACCACAGAGCTAGCTAAGCTTGCACAGAGGCCGTAACCCTTCTGACCTCTCATTCCCTGTTTACAAACTCCACAGAGAAGAGAAAATTAAACAAGAGAGTGTGTAAGTGCCCAGAACACTGGAGAACTTCAGAAAATGGCATCTCTTGCTATGTTGTATGAGAGTTGTACTCCCCTGCTACTGAATCCCACTAGGTACTGCCCTGACCATAGCCTCAGGGCAAGGACAATCTCACTGCCTCCCCAGCTGACCAGGGCACCGCACAAATGTTTTCAGGATGGCTTCCTCCCCCAACCCCTGCAAAATCTGCTCTGAAACATCATCGCCCTTAACCTTCTCCCTGCTAGGTTGTGAGGCAGCGTGTGAAGGAATATGGGTGGGGACCCTTCCTGTAGCCCCAAGGCTGGAGATTTTCTGATGAACCTCCTCACCAACAAAGGTCAAAACAATATGGAGATGTGTTTAGCACCTACTATGTATCAATGTCAAGGTGGTGATGAGGGTGACAGTGAATAACATGGTGAATGACAACAGCTTCTATTTACTGAGCTACCACTAATGGCCATTCTCCCTTCATTCGTTTTGTCTATGCTTCTAATATTCCCTGTGGATGAGAATCACCCATTTTACAGATGAGGAAACTGAGGATTAAATAAATCAAATGGCTTGACTGAGGCCAGGCAGTAAGTTCAGACAGGGATGCTCCAGGGGCTCTACTATTTCCATACCCTCAACAGCTCCCGGGGGCTGCTGGCTGTTACCGGCACAGATGCAGAGAAAATACTTTGGGGGAAACATGTTGATACATCAGTCTGCTCTGAGAGAAGGCCTCCTGCTGAAAGTAGTGAGGAAGGAAGCTCAGAAGCAAGGCGGAGCTGAGTGCAGAGGGCCTGCTGGGCAATTCTGACGTGGCATTTCTGATTCCCGTTGTAGCCTCTTTTGTAATGTAAAAGAATTTGAAGTAACCTAAACGTCTGGCCGTCAGGAAGTAATTAAACAAATGATCAGAGAGCTGTATGAAGGAAGCCGGTCTAAGCGGCTGAGGTTCTTTAAGAGCCAGACTGCTTAGGTGGGGCTGCCCCACGTGCCGCGAGCTCCCCTGGGCCCACCCACAGCCCTGCTGTCCCTGTGCCCTGGGAGCAGGCCTTCCTCATTTTCTGCCTATCAACAGGTCTGGCCAGCGGGAGCCCCCTGCGGCCAGTTGGATGCTGGGAGCAGAGGGGGTCAGGGTATTTCTTCCTCTCCCCCTGGGCACCAGGGTCCTGGCATAGTTGGATCCCTCCACACACCTCTCCTCTTCAGCCTGGGGTTGGTGGCTTCAGTCCCCCAGGCTCTGCCATCCCGCTTCCTCCCTTACCACTCGGGCATTAGAATCTCTGCGGGTGAGGTATGTAAGTGGAACTCTGTTGCTTGCTGGGCACCTGACTGTGACAAACGTATTAGGGAAGTGATGGAGGACACCTCAGGAAAGAGACAGCCCTACTGACCTCCCGAGAACCTTTCCGATCATCTTCACCATTAGCGTCCCCACAAGTCCACCGATGGCGAATATGGATACGGTCACAGACCACAGCAGAGTGAGGGTGTCCGGGTCTATCGGATGTCCATGCCTTCTTTGCCATGATTCATTGTAAAAGGCCTTGATGTACTGAAAACAAACAACACAGTGTGTCACTCCCCTCTGCTGCCTGCAGCTGGGGAAGCCAGCACAGGAAACAAGCAGCTCGTACACAGTGCCGTGCTAACTTCAGTCTGACCTTTATCTCCCGGGCCTCTCCTAACAAATGTTGGAAATAGTCCCTATTTTTACCTCATTTTGCAAATATGGAGATTGAGGTTCAGGGAGACAAAGTGACTTGCTCAGTAAGTGACAAAGCAGGGAGTTGAAGTCAGCTCTGTCCCTAGGCTTTTGATGCAGCCATCATTCCTGGAAGTGTGTCACAAGCACACATACCTAACAGAAGAGGCCCCTTGAGATAAGCAGGGACACAGGATGTGGGAACGCTGACCATGAAAGGAAAAAATGGTCACTTGGATTTCATCAAAATTTAAGTCTTCTGTTTTTTAAAGGCACCATCAAAATATGAAAAGACCAGTCATAGGCAAAGGTAACATGTACAACACATATAAGTATGATCTGCAATATATAAAGAGCTCTAATACATCAATAAGGAGGCAACAATACAATTAAAAATTGGCAAAAGACTAAAGACAATACAAATGACCAGTAAGGCACTGAGAGAATGGTTAACCTCACTAGTCAATAGGAAAACACAAATTAAAACCATCATGGGATGGCACGTCCTATCCCCAGATCCCTGTTCTGGTCAGTTCTGATTCAGTGGGTTTGGATAGGGACTAGGTGACTGTGGCGTACACCAAAGACTGAGGTCCTGGCACTAAGCTCCCGAGAGAGGGTGACCCCCAGGATCTGCACAGCTGCCATTCTCCCCAGTAGCATTACACAAGCCTCAGCAGAGTCAGTACGTGGTACTGCAGGAAAAGCTGAGGGTCCGGTCACACCACCGGGCTCCAGTCTGATGATTTGCTAATGATTTAAACCACCTGAACCTTGATTTTTTCATCTGCAAGATGGGAATGATGACACTGACCTCTCAGGGCCATTAGTGCCTAGTAGTTGAATGGAGATAACACACAGTCCCCATGTACATGGGTCATTACAAAAGTTTTGAGATACACAAAAATCAAGAAATGTAAAATCTGCGCAGACAGAAAGAAATGAAGCTCTCCCAGCAACAAAGCTGAGCAAGTTGAAACTCACACGAGTGAGTCAGAAAGGAAGCCGGGGACTGGAAGTGAAGTAATGGGCCGTGACACAGCTACCTCAGAACTTTCAAAGTTAAGTTCTGGTAAGACTAAGCACCGATGAACAGTCTGCACCCTCTGCAGGGGGAGTTTAACTTGTTCAGCTATCTTAGAAAACACCTGGCATCAGCCAGTCCAGTTAAAGATGCCCATAGCCTGCAACTCAGCAAATTTACTTCTAAAGTTAGGCGTGTGGCACAAGCCTCAAATCCCAGCTACTCAGGAGGCTGAGGCAGGAGGATTGTCTGAGCTCAGGAGTTAGAGGCTATTTTAAGTATGATCACAACACTGCACTCCAGCCTGCACAATAGAGAATGACTCTACCTCTAAAAACAGTAAGAAAAGCAAAACAAAACAAAAAATCTCCCCTGAAAAACTCTCTCTGTAGCCCTAGAATATATCTAATCTCCCCTGAAAAGCTCCCGCTATAGCTCTAGAATATATCTAATCTCCCCTGAAAACCTCCCGCTATAGCTCTAGAATATCCCTACCTACATGATATATCCCTACATGAATATCCCTACCTGGCAGTGTTGCTCATATTAACAGGAAACAATCCAGACACCCACAGACACAAGAGCAGATGAACAAATTGTGGACTAGCCGTAACATGAAAACACAGCCACAATTATAACTAATTAATTATAGCCATGTACCAACACACCTAGGAAAACCTCATGAAAATAATACTGGTCAAAAGAAGCCAGAAAGAAAAGAATGTACACAGGATGATTCCATATACAAAATCTAAAAATGCCCAAAATTAAAAGTGTTGGGAGGGGGGATTATAGAATATATAGATGGTTACACTGCAAAGAAAAAACTATTTCGGATGTCAGGTCAGAGCTACCTCAGGGGATGAAGGAAGAAGCGATTGGGAAGGAGCACTTGGTAGACTGTCTGTTTGGGGGCTCTGCAGTGATGTCTTACTTTGATGGGAAATGGCAGACAGAGACCCAGAAAGCTGCATAAGAAAGAAGGATGAAGACTTGCTGAATGGCCTGGGCCCACTACAGAAACACATTTCTCAAAAGTTCCCTGGTGGGCGGTGCCTGTGGCTCAAAGGGGTAGGGCACTGGCCTCATATGCCAGAGGTGGCGGGTTCAAACCCAGCCCCAGCCAAAAACTGCAAAAAAAAAGTTCCCTGGAAGCTGTTTTCGAAGTGATGCTTTTAGCACATAAATTTTTGTGTCCCAGGTGTGAATTTCTCAGTGGCCATGGTGAAAGGCCTTTCTGAACTGAAGTCAGGTGATGAAAGTTGCTCAGCAAATTTGTTGCACAAACATTCACTGGGCTTGAGATCTGTGAGGCTACTTCACGTGCAGACTTAGAGTGCATGGTACAGAACAGGGTGCTTCTGTGACCAGCCCCCAGTAAAAGCCCTGGACTCTGAGCTCCTAGTGGGTCTTCTTGGTGGACAGATTTCACGTGAGTGAATGAAACGCACCCCATGAGGCTCCACAGTAAGACTCTCAGGCAGGTGAGGGCAGAGGCCTTGACTCTCCCCAAACCTTCCTCTTTGCCGATTGTGCATCCTTCCCCGTCAGTGTGATCAATTCTAGCCGTGAGCACCACTGTGTGCTGGGCTGAGACCTGTCAGTCATCCCAGTGCGTTATCCTGGGGGGGAGGGGGCTTGTTGGGGTCCCTGCCACTCCTCCCTTGTCGTGAGGAAGACGCTCAGCGTCCACTTGGGCCTGACAGGACCGTCTGCGGATATGTGTGTGTTACTCTCCTCACTGTGTGATGCCCTGAAGGAGTCCAGCCAACTGCCAGGGTAGGTAAGAGGGCTCTGTACCTCTAGACACCTGAAAATATGTTGTTCCCACGTCTAGCTTTCAGCATGAAGACTGAACACCACAGGGGAGGACACCTTAGTGGAAGCAGCAGTCAGGTGAGTAAGACCTCCAGCGACTCCTGGCTCCCCCACACCCACCTTCCCAATGAGGACACCAGCCCCACCCTTGGGTCTAGTCATATGGGACATGAAGAAGGCAAATGCCATTGTCTACTTAGTCCTAGGCAGCAGCAGAAAAGTGGGTGCATTCCCCGAATCCTAATTATTCAAATTATTAAACCTGAGCCTTAATTATTGAACCCGCACCTTTCTCCTGCTGAACACTCTTTTGAGAGGTCACACAGCTATGCTCACAAGGGACACTGTGTTCACACAGAACTGAGATGGCATTTCCCACTCCTTCTGGCACACCCTCCTATGGGTCAGAATGGAAAGGACAAGCATTCCCATTACTGCCAAATTGCTTATGGTGCTAAAAATCAGGCTGGAGGCAGCAGGAGCGTGTCTGCAAGAGCTGATCAGTCACGGTGACAAGGCCACTAGCTTAGAGAGGGGCTGGTCAAAGGACCAGATGAGGTGTGTGAAGGCCCCTGAATACTGTTGCCATATAGGAAGTGCCCAGTAAATCTCTGGGTCTCTCCCCTGTGGGTCAGAAACAGGATGTTTCTAGTTGTGCCTGTCCATTTGTTCACACCTGCAGTGCCAGGCAACACACCCTTCCAAGGTCTCCCATCCCACCTCGCAGATTGCTGTGTCAGCTGTCTCTGCTCTCCCATTGCAGCAAACACGATCCTGCCTCACCAAGCCGAGCTTCCCTGGGCTTTTCCCCATCAGGACAATGCAACCAACACATTTTTCTCAGGGGACCTTTACATAATGAAAAAGTTCTGAAGCAAAGATGCAGGCTGCCCATCCCTAATCAGCTGAGACCTCTAGGGCATGGAGCAGGGTGAGGTTAACTCCCTTGGGTGGGACACCCCAAAACCAATGGCCCAGGAAAGGCCCCTTGTCCCCAGTCAGTGGCTCTGTTGGCTCTGGTCAGACCAAACCAAACAACAACTTACAGCTCCCAGTGTAAACAGGGACAAATTGGAAACAACCTCAGTGGCCCACGACAGGAAGATGGGTCATCTAGGTAACACAGCACTGCACAGAGACATAGAAAAATGTTTACGGCTCGGCGCCTGTGGCTCAAGTGGCTAAGGTGCCAGCCACATACACCTAAGGTGGCAGGTTCAAATCCAGCCCGGACCCGCCAAACAACAATAATGGCTGCAACCAAAAAATAGCCAGGCGTTGTGGCGGGCGCCTGTGGTCCCAGCTACTTGGGAGGCTGAGGCAGGAGACTCGCTTGAGCCCAGGAGTTGGAGGTTGCTGTGAGCTGTAATGCTATGGCACTCTACTAGGGGGACAGCTTGAGATTCTGTCTCAAAAAAAAAAAGATGTTTACAATATAAATACTAAGACAAAGGAAGGAGCCTATTTTTTTTTTTAATTTATCGTTGGGGATTCATTGAGGGTTCGAGAAACGAGGTTACACTGATTGCATGTGTTAGGTAAAGTCCCTCTTACAATCGTGTCTTGCCCCAAAAGGTGTGGCACCCACCAAGACCCCACCCCCTCCCTCCTTCCCTCTCTCTGAGGAAAGAGCCTATTAAACAGCACATACAGATGACTTTGGGGAAAGAATGGACTTAGATCAATCATTGGAAGTGGCCTGTGGGTGGGGCCTGGGGTCTCACCATCTGCGTCCAGACCCAGGCCCCCGCAATGTGGTGAGCAGCCTTGGGCTGGTTAGTCTCCCCTTTACCTGTGAAACAGGGTTAATATCAATATCTTAATATTAATGGGGTTAATATCAGTATCACAAGACCGTGCTATCCTTCACTCACAGAAGGAAATTCATACTCAGAATTGCATTATTAAATTTCTATGCTGTTTTCTTTTTCTAATAGAAGACTGTTACTTTCATAGCTACTAAGACAAAGTGAGGCAAAAATGAGAGGAATGAAAGGAGTACGGGGGA